AAATTATAGTGTTACCATAAAGCCCAGGCTAATTTAATGGAATTATAAATATGAATGCACATATATGCGAATAAAATAGCAGCTTCAAGTCCATCCATGGATTGTTTAGTTTTATTACACTATTATGTTGTAGATGTGCATTTTTAAAGCAACAGTGATAACAAAATAGCAGCAGCACATTTTATGCTTAAAGCCTAGTTCTCTAGTTCAAGGGAAAGCAACATGGCAACATGGCATATTACGTGACAATATGGCATATTACGTGGTGCTGATATGGCAAAATTTGTTATGTGGTTTGTATACATGGACAACATGGTGTTGCGTGGAATTGGTTTTGTGTGGCTAAATGTTACGTAATGTATGTGTAGGTAAATACTCAATAATGTTATGTGAAACCTTTGTTTGTGTAGGTAAAAACCGTAAAATCACATTTATATATTGGTACAAATTTATCCTACGGTTAGGCGGGTTAGTGTTGACAAAGTTGTTAATAGTTATTTCTCATTTGTTTTTTTGTTCTTCTATTATTGCTAGCTTTTCTTGTAGAGTAATACTCCGTAACAACAATCTTATACGGAGTATATACAATACAATACAAATTTCAACATTATTAATGCCAATGATATCCATAATAATCAAGGGTGGAGCCAGAAAAATGTGTGAGGGGATCAAAATCTAATTATATACACTATCAAAACAATGGATTATTATTATTCATTATTTGAGTTAAATGTTTCATATGTAGTTGAGGTAAATGGTAGTTTAATGAGCATTTTTCGGTTAATGTATTGATATACATGTGATATATCATAATGATCACACAACTAATGACTGAATAAGATGTTTTATTTTTAAATTTAAGAATAGAATCAATGTCACACTTCAAATTTTGCTTATTTCAAGTTAATATGAGGCTGAATTTTCCAGAAGTCATAACTTTTTACTCGTAATGAGTTCCGAGACCCATAATATATCAAATCGAAAGTATTTCAGAGCTTTACACTCTTGAACTTTCACCGGGGTCGGCTGACCACCCTGACCCCTCCTTGGTTCTGCCCCTGATATAATAATACATAAGACAATGCATTATAAATAAATCTTCAACATCTAATATTCACTTTCATGATGAAAGCCAAACATTGCAATAAAAACCTTTAAATATTAGCCCAAACAAGTACAATACTAAAAATGTATATTATGCCCTATGTGAAAGCAACTCATCAAATTCAGGAGTAGAGTCTCCACCATAGCCATTAGATTACTGCCCTATGTGGAAGCTTCACGCTTGTTGCAAGTATGGAATTGAACAATCCTTATGTACCTGGAATTGAACAATCCGTATGCATTTCATTTCACAAAAAGGCCTCATTTTTCTATTAGCACCGGGCCTCTGAATGTGTCAAGCCGGCCCTGATTACTGCCCTCGACTGATATAAGGTGAGCCGCGATTAAATGATCGGGACATTGAGTTCTCTCTTAATTAGATGCATCGTTTTTCACTTTTTCCTATTAAAATTAGAAAGGAATATAATAACTCGTAATGTATGTTGTCAAAGTATTTAATATAGATACCTCACATTCTCCCACCCGAAGTTAAAAATACTTACATATTTAGATTCCATTTTTGAAGATACTCGACCACGTTTTAATGCCACTAAAAGAGATGGCTCGTCTCAACATGAAGGACCGAGGACGGATTCTGCATTTCGAGTCAATGGGGTGAATTTTTTTCGTAGTATAGGGGTGGAAAAAAAATCGCTAGTGTAGCGAGACGATTTTTTCCGCTTGTGTAGCGGGGCGATTTTTTTCACCAGGACTGTGGCTAATTTTCATTCAAAAAAATTCATCGATGATATTTAAATCTATTACATTTTAGGTTTAAAAATGGAAAAATAAATTTAATTATATAATAGTGAGTCCTCTAAAATTGTACTAATACATTAAAGCATAAGAAATGACAAATCAAATAAAAATTATTTGAAGGTAAAGATTTTAAAAGGCTCACATCAACCAAGGCTTTTTAAAATTTAAATAACTTATGTCTTGTTTAGGGCTGGGACCGGTTCGGTTCTTACTCAAAATGAATGGAACCGTTATAAAAGTTTTCACTAATGAAATCGGTTCGGTTCCTATATAAAAAATCAAGAACCGTTATGGAACCGAACCGGTAGTAAACGGTTCGGTTCTTCTTTTTACCGGTTCCTAGAATAATTTTTTCTCACTAAGAATTAATACATAATTTACTTTCTACAAACAACATAAACACCTCGAAAATTCAAAACACGAGTATTAAAATTTTATTTGAAGCTCTAATCACTTCAAACATCAAAGCTCAAACCTAATTAATGAATTGTGAACACTTAATAGAACAAAAGATAATTTAAATTTTTATGTAATAAATAAAATATAAAAATCATAGTAGTGTGGGAATGATGAAGCCGGCATGAAGGTTACTCGTCATCATAGTAGCAAGAATAGGACGCCTACTTCAAGTCTTTCAAAACATAAAAAAATACATTGAGTTTGCATTGTAGTGTAGGAGCGATGAAGGTTACTCGTCATCATAGTAGCAAGAATAGGACATCTACTTCAAGTCTTTCAAAACGTAACATAAAAAAATACATCGAATTCACATGTATACATATAAAAAAAACATTGTTACATTCTATTGATTCATAATAAATCTAATAATTAGAAATATCATGAAAAAAAGTAAAGTAAAATATGTGCAATCATCTACAAGTTATTTGAGTTATTTTGTAATTATAAAATTTATGTGATGGAACAAAACTTGATTTGTAGAAAGGAGTTTAATGTATTATATCAACCTCATGTACAATATTTATTACTTCGTTTTCGTTGATTAAATTAGAATTGTTAGTTAAATATCTTATATTGTTTTATTATTATTGTTGTGGTGGTTATTATTATTGCTATTATATTATTATTGTTACTACTACTACTACTAATCTTATTTTATTTTTTAATTTTTTAATAACGGTTCCTTAACGGTTCCATGCATATATTTTTTATAGGAACCAGGAACCGAACCGTTATAACTCGCTTTGGTTCGGTTCCTACAAATAAGGTATTAATTGTTAACGGTTCGGTTTCTAGATGTTGTTAACGGTTCGGTTCCAATCGGTTCTACGGTTCCCGGTTCCAAAATCCCACCCCTAGTCTTGTTTAACCATATGAATCTTCTTAGAATAAAGAATTGGTTTTTGAATTTGTCTACCAAGAATGTTGTTCGTGAGTCACTAGAAGTTTTCTTAATATTACAATAGTATGTATAAGATTATTATTTTTAGAATAATAATATACATAGTATTGTTAATTCACATATGTGGTGCATATTGTATTTGTATTAATGCTAAAATAAGTTAAAGTTTATTATCTATGCAACAAATTGTTTTTAGAAAGTAATAAGTAAATGAATTGTGTACTTTAATGTCAATAAACATTTATATTTCAGATTCACTTCACCCATGATCTAAAACTGTTTAACTAGTGTGTTTGATATTTAATATTGTTTGATATTTTACAAAATTTAGTACTAATCGTCTAATAAAAACAACTAGACGCTACAAAGGTAGAAATTTATAAATAATAGGTATCCTATGTCTTAAACAATGACTTGTGCTATTGTTTATTCATTTAAGTTATGTAAATTATTTTAGATGTTACTTTTTTTAGATCTTCAATTATGCATTATATTATGTAATGCTATATACTACCTCCGTTCTTAAATAAGTGCAACAGTCAACATTTCACATTTGTCGAGGCACAACTTTGACCATTAATATATATAACTCTCTATTAGTAAAAAAATTTAGAAAATCAGATTTTTAAAATTTACAATGAGACAAATTTAGTAATATTTTTAAAAAAAATATATATTAATACATCAATAAATAAAATGTAGTCAAAGTAGAACATGTGAATAGTGAAAAATTTGCAATGTTGCACTTATATAAGAACGGATGTAGTATTAATTTTGAAAACTAAAAGTTAAGGGAGGCGAATACATATGTATTTAATTAAATTATGAAAATATTACATATGTAGTAGAAAAATTTGAATAGGGGTGGGCACGGTCCGGTTTGGTCCAATATTTGATCGAACCCGTACCCGTACCGTTACTATTGAAAGGGTTCGTCTCAATTTGGTCTTAGACCTATACTCGTTCGGTATGGTCTATTTTCAAACGGGACGGTACCATGCCATACTCATCCCAAATAGTTCGGTATGACACTTTTTCCAAGTGTTTAAGGAAAAATTAAAGTTTAGGCATCCTCCAAAAATCGACACAATTTAACAATTTTCGTATTTCATACTACCTTTGTTCCAAAATGATTTGCAAAGTCAATCTTTTTTTTGGTCAAATAGGTTCTTTTTATTCATTTAATTTGGTTTCACTTTTTAATTATATTCTAATTTGGCCTTTCAGAAAAAAGTACTTCACATATTCTAATTTGAATTTTGCAACTTTAAAGATATTTTAATGTGGTTTCTAAATATGTAAATTTTAATTATTAAAAATTGTACGGATTAGTAATTATCATTAGGGAGGACTTAACATTAACACTGATAAAAAAATGTTGATTTTGCAAATCAATTTGGGATGGATGAGGTAATTAATAAATTTTAGATCAACTATAATAGTACAAATTTAAATAATTTAACCATACTTCGATCCGGTTCGGTCCGGTACCGGTTCTCGTTTTATGAGAACCCATGATACAACGACAAATTATTATGTAATTAATAATTAGATTATACGGAGTAGTAATAATTAGCCTTTTAATCACTAGGTTCACTATCAAATTAATAAGATAATTTTGTTAAATAAATAAGAAATACGTAGTATAAACTAAAAGAAATTAAAGAATGGGTTCGGACTTCGGAGTTCCACCAGGCCTGGCCGTATGGGCTGAGGCCTGAAGCATTTTGAATTCATTTAATATTTGGATAACAGTTCGAATTTTTTCCTTTTCACTCTTAAACAAACGAAGTCGTTCCGTTAAACGATTCATCTTGAAAACCTCAGTTCTCGATAATCAGATAACCCTATCACCAGCGAGCAGAGCGAACGAAGCGGCACCGGCAAAGCTTCAAGGCGCCGGCCAGAGTAATACACATACATACTTAGATTATTCCGGAGAGAGCACCGGTTCGCTCCCCCTGGTTCCGCCCCTGCTCCAAGAGGCGCTCTACCTTGCTAGTCGGCTAGTCGCTAGGCCGCACACCGGCACAGTAACCGGTACGCACTTCGCTGCTAAGCACATATGAATGTTGATGTATGATTTTCTGATTTACTTGAATGGAAAATAACTGAAATTGATTTTGTTTGTTTCCTACGAATTGCTTTGGAGTTTGGGCCCTTGTTGTTGTTTGTCTATTTGTTTATGTTTATTTATTTATTTGTTGCGGATAGTGCTTAAGTAATTGAATTGAATCAATTGATAATTAGTGTGTTGTACAATTAAGATTTAAGAAATTATATAATTATGTTATTAGGTAACTCCGTATCTACCAAGTACTAATTTTAGATTTCGAAATTATAATTATTTCATGATGTTACCAAATATTTAAATTGAATTTTAACTTAACTTTTTTAAACATGTACATGATTAGGTGTTTTTATTTTGGGGAAAACATAGGTGAAAATTTTGATAATTGGTATTTGGTAATATTTATGTTTCCAAAGAAATACCCATCTTGTCATGGATTGGCATTGATATCAATATATTTTGAAACACTCCAATAGACTGACATTGCAAGTTTGATTTTGCATCTAAATTTGTAAGAAAATTGTCTTTTTCTAAATGAAAGGTATTTTATTAATCACTGTTTTTTTATTATTATTGTTATGTTCATTAGTAACTTGCAAAGTAGTCAAAGTCAAAAGGCGCACTTGAAGCGCTCGCCTGACTCGGGTGAAACGCATTACTTAGATAAAATCACATATACTATTCTATAATTACCAAATATGATGTATGTAACATCATATTGAACCAAATTCATATTAAATCCAGTATTCACCAAAATAAAGTCATGATTTACAAAAACTAGAACACCAAATTTAGAATTCATGGCTTTAATACTAAAACTATAAATAAAAGACAATCAAATTGGAGCCTATTTTCCCTTGTTAAACTTGTGAGCCTGCATAGTACTATTACTTTATTAATAATATAGCAATATACTAGTGCTGTGATTAACAGATTAATATAGAGTATTATGACTATTATATACAAAGTAATATACTAATGTTGTGAGTAATATAGAGTAATATACTAATGCTGTGAGTAACTTGTATTTTAACACACATTACTTCTGCTGAAACTTGGATAAAAAGGCCCATTTTTTTGTTGTTGCACAGGGTCCCCATATTTTCGGGACCGGTCCTGGTTTTAAATAAATGTATACGCCATAAACCCTAACTAGTCCTGTTTCTCCTTTTTTACATCGTCGATTTGAAGGCCGGGGAGAACAATCATGGTGAGAACAAAGGTGGAAATAAAGAGAATACAGGACAAATCCAAGAGGCACACTACCTTCACCAAGCGCCGCCAAGGACTATTCAATAAAGTCAACGAGCTCTGCAAGCGTTGCAACGCCGAAGCCGCCGCGATCACATTCTCTTTAGCGGGAAATGCATATGCTTTTGGCTATCCGTGTGTTGAGTCTGTCTTGAAACGTTACGATGACCATATCCAAAAGCATTCACACGGGGCTGGCGGTGAGTCCGTAGATAATTCATCTGATGTAGCCACTACGTTAAGTAGTAGCAGTGCTGCGAGTATAAGTAGTAGCGATAGTAGTTTAAATGTAGACGAATTGGGAATGGAAGAGCTTGAAGATGTTAGAATGTCTATGGAAGAGTTGAAAAAAAGAATTATTGATCGAATGAATGAGATTTCAGAAACTGTTTCTCTTTAATGCTCTCTTGTGGGTTGAATATGTTTCTATAACGTAGATCTTTTTATTGTTTCTTGACTCTTTTGGATTAAATAGAGTCTCTATACTACCTTTTGTGGACTGGAATAGTTTTAAATGATGAATAATTTGATACGCTATTGCTAGTAATGGGCAGAAAGATTGTTTCTATTTGATGATATGATGATCATTCAGATATTCACTTATTTGATTATAAGATTGTTTCTATTTGATTCTATTAATTTGATCTCTTATAAAAAAAATCTTATTCATACTTTGCATTTTACTTGAGTTATAAATGAGACTACAATACCACGTTCGGATCCTCTGATAAAATTGCTAGACTATATAGTTCTAATATAGTATGTTTACAATGACCTCATAAATGATGCTTTTACTTGGTGCTTGCGTGAACCTTCTCAGTCCACCAAATACCATATTTGTGGAGCTCATCAAAAGCTCAAAATGAATGAGAAAAAATTTCTAAAGAAAGAATCAAATTCTCATAAATGTCATCAGGAAGAAAAAGGAACCAGATTCTTCTGAGATTAGATAACTTACCTCTTCTAGGCTAGCTATATATATGGATGTTGAGTCCTGGCATTCCAAACAAGTGATCAAACAAAACCAAACATCTAAGCTCCAGTTACTTTCTGTATTATATTGATTCAATGGCATCACAGCAGAGCTACCGGGAGGTGGATGAAACCATTGTGTCTCAAAAAACCACCATAGTTACCAGCCACAAGGTTGAAAATGAGCAGCACCACTCTTTGAAAGACAAGGCGAAAGAGGTGGCAGGGAGAGTGTTTCACCACAATCACCAGACACATGAATCTGCTGCATGCATTGATTCAAACGCAACATGTGAGAAGAAAGAGGGTTTGGTGGGCAGGGTGAAAAGCCAGCTGAAGAACTTAGGGAAGAAAAAGCGAAAGGAAGGAAACTGCGAGTGTGGCAGTGACAGCAGCAGTGATGAGAGCGATTGCGAATAAGCAGATAAGGAGGTTCTTATGGATGTTGCTCCGTGATTTCCGCACTTCGTTAAATTCTTATAAGTAACAAATATAATGTGTGTGTCAGTATGTGTGGTATCTTTTGCAGAATAAATGGTGATTTTTCTATGTATCTAATAAGAGCATGTAAATGCTAGCTAAACCGCTACACGTTTTTATGTCATTGTTGATACCTTGAGCAGTTGAGCCCATACCATATATATTTGTAGTTCTTATAGCAACGCATGCCTGCAGCTTCCAAGTATTAGATAGAATTTGCTACAGATATGAACACCGATCCCAATCTAGACTGAGTATTTGTTGCAAATTATATCCTACAACCGGCACCGGCTATACTTTGAGCATGGGGCAACCGCTTCCTAGTATTAGATAGAATATAATGCATAATCCAACTTCATGTTTGAACACTGATCTAGGCATGGCCTCGGTTCGGGCCGCCCGGCCCGGGACCGGCCCGACCCGCTACTGTGCGGGCCCGGCCCGGCCCGGTTATCCGGGTCCGGGTCCGGTTCGGGCCGGAGGCCCGGGGGTGGGGCGGTTCCGGGCTCGGTTCATGGTTTTGACGGCCCGGCCCGGCCGGTTCGGGCCCGGGTCCGGGCCAAATCTATTTTTTTTTTTTATTTTTTTCATTTGTTTTGGGCTGTTGGGCTTGGGCTATCTGTTTAGGCCGGTTTGAGGGGGTTTGGGGGGGTGGGGGGGGGTGGGGGAAGAAAGGAAAAAAAAAAAAAATTAAACCGGGTGGCCCGACTGGCCCGGCCCGGCCCGGCCCGGCCCGGCCCGGCCCGGCCCGGAACCGGACCCGGAACCGGTGGCCACCGGTTCGGGCTCGGGCCCAACAAAACAGACCCGAGGCCCGGCCGGGCCTAGGCCCGAACCGGGCCCGAACCGGCCCGGGTCCATCCATACACTGATCCCAATCTAGATCGAGTATTTGTGTCTTGGTTTGATTGATGATCCTGGTGATTCGTCTTTAATAGTCGATCCAAACCAAATTGGTTTTCAATCATGTCAAATACTAAAGGACTAATTAAATATGATAATACCCCATACATATAAGAAAATTAAAAAACTTACACAACACCGTGTAAGCTCTCTCCCATCCACCCTTTAAAACGGCATCATCCTTGATTTTCTTGGTGAATGATGTTAACTTTTGATCAATAGCATATTTGTAAATGAAATGATACATACTATGATAATTATGTGAAAATGTTCTTTATTATAAGTACTCTCATAAAAGTATTTAACATATAACTTTTACAATACTATATTATCAAAACCAACCATTGACCAGATTAAGAGAGTAAAATATGGCAAATTTTTAAGGGACGGAATGAGCAATTAATTATGCTTATGGGCATTGAGGATGTTTTAAAATGGATTGAATTGAAATTTTGTGATATAATCTAGTCTAGTCTAACCTGTTTAAATCTAAATTGGTTTGTTAAGAAGCTGATAGGTGCATATTATACATCCTGCTGTATACACCTAGTTTAATTCATCAAACACTCAGACACTGGTATTAATTTTATAATTGCTCATTTTGCATATGAAGAATGCATGTAGAGTTCTGTTCATGTTCCTATTTTGTTCAATTCAATTCTATATTTCTATACATGCTCATTTGGTTACGAAAAAATTTACGAATTTGCAGAACACTTATTTAACTGTGTTGGATGTATCATGCACCATAGTAAATACACATTAAGCCAACGCCCCACAGATTAGATTTACATAAGCCTTCGAAGGGCAGCGCTTTCCATGAAAGAAGGCTTCATATTTTCCAGATTAGGAATGCTCAGGTTTTATTAAGCATAACTCTCTTTGGTATTACAACCTTTACTACAAACAAGAAAAGAATAATAAGTAGGTAATTTTAAAAAGATGAGGTTTACTTTGAATATTGACATGTCATTGACTAAACTCGCTGCATGCATAGAATCTATAATTTCTACATAGACTTTCAACAAATGGTGCCGTGAATGAGAGAAACAGATGGAATAAGTGGTGATGAAACAAAACTATATGTACAATTGAATATATACCCTTTCAAGTTGGCTATTGGCAGGAAAGGAGATTCAAAGGTGATGGGATAGACTGCACTTCTAACATGCAATACATATCTGATATTATAAACACAACATAGATTCGATTATTCAAAGGTGACCACCCCCTTGGCGTTTAAAAAAACAGTATGCATATACTAGTAATATTTTTCATATATTTATACTTTAAATTTAGCTGCAACAACAACATCTAAGACTTATTCCATGAAATTAGAGCCATAAAAGGAAGAAAGATAAGAAGAATATAAATACAAAGTATAAAGTAAGATAAAATGAATAAGCTATTTCGATTCATGTCATGTGATGTGATTAAATGGGCCATCATGCACCTACCACAACACCTCATTTATCCCGACTTGAAACAAGCATGAAACAAAAAATGATCTCATGTCGTAATTCCTTTTATTTTTAGTTCTTTAAAACATTTTCTAATCTTTAAATAAGACTTGATAATTGATATGAGTTGTAACATTTTTGTTGAAGCATTTGTCCCACACCGGAAAGCTATAAAACAATTAAACACTATATAAGGCTTTGGGTTACTCCTCCTATCAGGTTGACCTTTGAGGACGGAACCCGGGTCTTAACATAGTATCAGAGCCAATTCCGGTTGTGGTTTGACGGCTTGTTTAGCACCCATGATTAAGGGTAGTTTGTTAAGGGTTTGTTTGGCCCGTTTATACACCCCGATATTGTCCAGCCCGGTTCGGGCTGAGGGGGCGTGTTGAAGCATTTGTCCCACACTGGAAAGCTATAAAACAATTAAACACTATATAAGGCTTTGGGTTACTCCTCCTATCAGGTTGACCTTTTAGGATGGAACCCGGGTCTTAACAATTTTGAAGAGAAAAGAAACTAAAATAATTTAGTTCATAGTTGCGTTAATGTTTTCTGAATATAAAAGTTACTGATTCCTTGATGTAAAAATAATACTTCGTAATAGAATACTCTTTGATTTAGGGGTGGATTCGGGCCGGGTTGGGTCCGGGCCGGGCCTAGGCCCAGGCGGGCCGCCGGTTCTGTATAGGTGGACCCAGGACCGGCCCGGGTAGCCACCGGCAGGCATGGAGCCGGGCTGGACCTAGGACCGGTCGGGCCTTTTGTGGTTGGGGGAAGGCCCGAGACCGGCCCGGGTTGTCAGCGGGTTCGGGCCGGGCCCCGGGCCAGTTTATAATTTATTTTTTTGCTATTTCTAATTAACCCCCGACCCCCCTCACCCCCACCCCCCAAACCAGCCCAAATGGCCTAAAATACCCAGTCCAACCCGGAAAGTTAAAAAAAATTAAAAAAAAAACAGAATAAAGCCCGAACCGGGCCCGGAACCGGACGGGCCGGTTCCATTTTCCCCAGACCCGTACCCGCCCCGGTTACCCCCCCCCCCCCCCCAAACCAGGCCTAGCCCGGAACCGGGCCGGGTCGGGCCCGCACAGTACTGGGCCCGCTGGCCCAAACCGGGTCCAAGCCTAGCCACCGGGTCCGGGTCCGGGCCGGGCTTCGGGCCAATTACATTTTTTATTTTTTATTTTACTTTTTCTAATTACCCCTCGACCCCCTCACCCCCAACCCCCCAAAGCACCCCAAATGGCCCAAGATACTCAGCCCAACCCGGGAATTTAAAAAAAAATAGAAAAAAAAATAAATAAAAAAAGTCCGGAACCGGGCCGGTTCATGTTTTGGGTGACCCGAGCCCGGACCGGAAACCCCTCAGGTCGGGCTTACCCGGACCAGTCACTGACCGGGCCACCGGTTCGGGCCAGTCCCGAGTCGGGCCACCCGGCCCGAGTCCACCACTACTTGGATTGTGTAGTTGTATGCTATCAAATCAATAATTGAATACTATTTTAGTACATTTATCTATATAAAATAAAAAGTTACATAATTTTAAAAAATATCGAGAAATATTGAAAAGTTTAGCAGAAACCAATAATAAAGTGGTTTTAATAATAAAGCTATGTGATCTAAAATAGGTTCAATCAATTTAGTTCAGATTTTAAGAACACTTTTCTTTTTCTTTTTCTTTTTTTGAAGTCGAAGAACTCTTTTCTATACTCCCTGAAGTAGCAACATCTGCAAGATATTCTCCGACCACTAAAAACCCAGAAGCTCTCCTG